ATTGATATAAAACTAAATCATGTTTTCCATTCACATTTCGAACTTCTCAAAAATGCTTATTCGATTCCATAAATATTTATTTTTCATTGTCAACCCTTCAACTTTTTCCAATTACACAATCAAGCAACTAATTATGAATTCTTTCTAGAATTCACCTTAACTTTTCCATTAAATTCATAATGATCCTTCACCATCATGATCATTGCACTTTAATTTCTAAAATTTCCAGCATCTTAATAAAATTCTCAAATCAATACTTTAACATTCAAAGACTTGAAATTTCATCCCAAAGTTTCTTAGACTTTTCAACTTTTACCACCCATCTTTATAAACTTGTAATTTGATTCCAAATCAACTTTCTAACTTAAAATTCAAGCATTGCATAATTAAAAATTCAACCTTGAACACCCCAATTATCACATTTAAACAATAATGTCCCACGATTCTCAAAACTTGTAAATTAGCTCTTTTACTATCTCCAGGTTTCAAATTGATCCAAATTGATCTCCAAGTCTCATAGAACACTTCTAATATCATTTCTAGAATATAGGAAAATTTTCAATATCCCCCCCCCCAAATTTTCCTCATGGTCGAATACTATAAGGTAGGAATTCCATGTTTTCCTACTTGATTCAAGGATCAATTCAACATCTAAACAGCATTTCCAATCTTCTAAAATCAAACGCCTATCATAATTAATCCAAATCAAATTTTCTTCAAAACCCTAGGTCATAGTCGAATAGTCTTTTACTCAGTTTCCAGTGATTTTAATCATCACACATGCCTTAGAATTAATCTCCAACATCAATAACATAATAAACCCTAATTTTCAATTTCATGAAATGTTCACCATGCAATATCTATACCAAATGATAGAGAAAATCATGTAGATTAATTCCCTATTTCACAACTTAATCCAAAAATCAATCATGTAACCTTAAAAATGAACTTGAAATTTTTTCTTATCTTGTATGGAGACTCACGACTTGGAGGGAAGAAATGGCTGAAAATATGCTAGTTTTCTTGATTATTCATGGCTTAATAATATAATTGAATATTAAATTCAATTAATGAGAAGTCCCTAATTTGTCATTAGTGAAACTTGATATTTATAATATGCCATTGCATTAACATCCATTAAAATATTTCTTAGTCAAAGATGAACCAATTTGACTTTAACTTTCTACTTTGGCCATAAAATTTTTAGAAATTCCATTTTAGTCACTAAATTTCCACTCTTAGGACTGTTCTAAGCAAAATTCCTTTGATCTAAAATATGAAAATAATATTTCCAACACTTATCTAACATTCTTCAAATTTTCGTAAAATTCTAGTTCAATCTGATTATCTGATTTCTATACCGAACTTTATCGCTTTATAGTTTTTCACACAAATCCCGAACCAAAAATCTGATTACCACAAAAATCCTTGTTTTAGGCCAAATTATTCCTTTACAGACGAAAATATATAAATTTTCTAAAATTGCATTTTTGGTCCATGAACTTTTATAAATTTTATACTTCAACTATAAACTTTTAAATTTTATATTTTGGTCACTAACTAAAATTTGGGGTATTACAATATCAGTATATACATATCAATTGAATCACTACCCGATGCATACAAGAAAAAAATTATACACATAAGAACACAAAACATTTCTAAAAAGTGGAAGAGATCCGAACATTCACCGACCAACAACATGTTTGCATGATTAGTTATGAATATCAATTTTATCGATTTCCTTTTCCTTTTTTTTAAAAAAATGAGATAAATCTAAAATTTAAACCTTGATGCACAGTCCAATTTAACGCCTAAGAAACCCAGAATGAATCATTTTGATGTACTCGGAACATTATAGTGGACTGAGTAGACTAGTCTGTATGAAAAGAATATACAAGGTACTGGTGCGGCTGCCACCGGCCACATTGTCCCATTGCTTTCATTCAGAACTTGTAGTATGTGGGGGGGGGGGGGTTTGAATACTGTCTAGGGGGACCAATTTCATACCCTTAAAAGAAAAAGCAGCTGAGTGTTTGTGGTTGAGCTCATCTCTGCATTAATTTCATGTTACCTTGGCTCTTCAGTTGCAACTTGCAACCAATTATTTAAAGCACATCCCAGCTATAAAGTGGACGATTAATAGGCCAAGGCATTAGTCGGTCATAAATCTAAAACCAATATTAGGTTTTATAGGCTACTTTGGTTAGAGAGAGTCAAATTTAATGGCTTTATGCATTTTCGGACCATTCGCTCCGACTCACCTGCATACATATTTAAAATGAGTGAACAGTGGCACTTTATGTAAATACTTTGGGTTATATATAAAGCAGATTTCTAACATTTTTGGGTTGTATTTTTAGTGAAATATGGACATTTTATAAAATAAAAGGATAAATTGCACGGGTGACCACTAAATTATGGTCAAAAATCATTTTAACCACAAATGTTTCAATTTGATCAAATAGGACATCCAACTATTTAAATGTTTGAATCACGCCACCTACCGTTAACAATTAACGGAACATGTGATTTTGCAGTTAAAAATATTTTGGTATAATTACATAATTGGTCCATGTTACTTATAGATTCTTTCGATTTGATCCTCATTTGAATAAATTAAATTGATGACATGTGTTATCATTCGATTGAAAGACTAAAACCAACGAATAAGGGGTAGGTGGGCTTCAAACAGTAGACCTCTTATGTGAAAGGGAAAACACCAAACTATTGGACCAAATCATTCATTTGATTATCTTCATACAACAAATAATATATATCTTGTATCTTAGTAAAATTTTATTTAGACAACAAATAATATAATTAATAAATAAATATTAAGGTTATTTTTTAAATTAATAAAAATACAAATATATAAAACATATTAATTTTTTCTTTAATTATATAATTTAATATTATAAATATTTATTAATATAATATGAACATAATATTTTATATTAAAAATTATGAATATAATATTTTATATATCTTAATTCTTAAATTTTAAAAAATATTTTTTATTTTTATCTTAACTTATTAAATATATTTTATTTTTTTCTTAACCTATTAAATATTTTTTTTATTTTAATGTAAATATATATTTTTTATTTTTATCTCACTTAAAATATATTTTTATTTTTATCTTAATTTTTAAAAATATATTTTTAAAATATATTAACTTAAAATATATTATTATTATTATTTTAATATATTTTATATATTCATACTTTTTGTTAATGTAAAAAAATTCTTAATTTTTATTTATTAATTATATTTTTTTGTCTAAAGAAAAATTTATTAAGATACAAGATATATATTATTTGTTGTGTGAAAATAACTAAATGGATGCCTTGGCCAATGATTTGGACCTTCCTCTTTCACCCAAGGGGTCCTTAGTTCAAATCCTAGATGTCCCCTTATGTGTTTAAATAAATTAAAATAAATTTAGTCCTCTAATTAAATAATGACATGTCATTATTTTAATTTATTAAAATGAAGACCAATTTGAAAGAATGTATAAGTAACATAGACCAATTGTGTAATTTTACTAAAATATTTTTAACCGCCACATCACATGTTCCGTTAACCGTTAACAGCATGTGAATTGATTGAAACATTTAAATAGTTAGATGATATGTTTGATCAAATTAAAACATTAGTTGTCAAAATCATTTTTTATAATAGTTTAGTGGACACCCGTATAGTTTACCTTAAAATAAATTCATTCGTCAACTCGTCACTAGGCCCAATCTTGAATCAAACACATCTTAAATATATGGTTAAAGTACTGTACAACAATTATATAGAATCTTGGTCCAATCGGCAGCCAAATGTGTTTCTCTCCTACAGAAATATATATCCGGCCTATGATTTTTAACCTTTTTGACTACTCAACTCTTTCAAAACCTTAGCCTCAAATCACCGTTTCAATTGCCCAACAATTTGCAGCAAAATTTCCTTTGTGTAGCCATCACACAAACCTCTCCACCACCATCTGATATATTTAGAAGAAGACAATGAGACTAAGGATCTTACTCTAATTACGCCAATTCTAATTGACTATGAGAGCTCCAAAATTCCATCATTAAACTACCAAATCCAGTCTTAATCAAAAGGTTCTGAAATCCACCAACTACATTACCATATAACAATAATTAAATATTAACTTGTCAAATACTGTATTGCAAAGCTGACCAAATCATTCTTTTGGAAGCCATAGGGAAGACGACAAGTAGCCCAATACCACGAAAAAAACACATAGCAGTTGGGAATATATGTATTGCCGATCTCTATCCAACTTTGGCAGAATGTACATTACATAGTCACTCTGCCAAGCATGCGTGTGACTTTGGGGTCGAATAGGGTATGTTTTGAAGTCAACCCTTCATTCCCAAACAACTATCCTAATATTTAAGCGTGGATTTACGATTTTTCTGGTTGATTTTTAGCCGACTTTTTTTCTTCAAAACACACTAGAGAATATGTATCTTTAGTGGCAATGAAAATGGCCACTAAAAACTATTAAATTTAGTCAATAAAATTTAAGTCAACAATCACAAATAATTCTATCACTGTTTTATTAGTGGCAACTTCCATGAGAATGGCTAAACATGGGGGAGTGGCCATTTCCAAGACCCTTAACTCATTGCCTCATGTTTGGAACTTTGGCGCCTAATTAAAGAAATTACTCATTGATATCATGTTTTAAGTGTCACGGGATTATTATTTTATTTAATAAAAATGTATAATATTATATTTCTAAAAATTTGAATTTTCATTTTTCTTTTACCATGTGAAATTAATATACGGTTTCACATTTATAAACAATCTGTCTCAGATGAAAATATTAAAAAATATCTTTAATAATTTTTGGGTGAAATATGAAGTTTCTCTGGGCGCACGTTAGCTGGACTAATGGGTCCTCAGCTTCTTCTCATTCACTTTGATTCTTTCTGCGTATTTGCTTGCAAAGATTGTTGTTTAGTTCCTGATTCATTTGTATGGATTCGACGAGCGTGAGCCTTGATTGGAGGAATTTATTCGTGGGTTCGAAGAATCAATCTCTAGATTTCTTTCCTCATGAGATTCGGGATGGAGTTGTCACGGTTAAGCCTCCTATTGAGGTGATTGAGGAAGGCATTGCTGATTGGAATAATGCCCTAGTGGGTCAGTTCATTGGTGCGGCTCCTAGGTTTTCCTCAATGCAGCGTATTATCGATTCGATTTGGGAGAATTCTTCGCAAGTTAAGGTTAGTTTAGCTGGCCCAAATCTTTACGTTTTTTCGTTTTTGGATGCTAATTTGAGGGACTGGGTGCTTGAAAACGGTCCCTGGCATGTCCAGAACAAGCCTCTGGTTCTGAGGAGGTGGGAACCTGGGTTGCAGAGTCTCAATTTTGACCTAGCTTTAATGCCTGTTTGGGTGCAACTCTATAATATTCCGCTTGAACTGTACTCTCAAAAGGGTCTTAGTTACATAGCTAGTGCGCTAGGTACTCCTCTCTATATGGACACTATCACTGCTTCTCGTGAGAGGTTGGAATTTGCTAAACTGTGTATAAAGATTGAAGCTGGCAGTGTTCTTCCTGAGGATATTCTTGTTACTCTTAGGGATAGATCGACTGTGAGTATAAAGGTGCATGTGCCATGGATGCCTCAGTACTGCTCTACGTGTAAAGTGTTTGGGCATCATGTTAATTTGTGTTCTGTGGTTAGGCAAACTTCTGTGAAGCCTAAAGAAGTCCAAGTCTGGAGGAAGAAAAAAGGTATTCTTCCTGGGGGGGACTGGAAGTAAGGATTCTTTGAATGGTAATGCTGAAGCTTCTGGACAGATTTCTGATTCTCTTCCGGGTAGTTCATTGGGGGGGATTCATGGTTCGAATCTTCAGGTTGGTGTTATCATGGAGTCTTCTGTCCATGATTTGCAGGAACCTAGTGTGGCCACACAGGCTACTGGCCTGGGGACTGACTCTTTGCCAACTGTTACTGCTGACAAGTCCGCTATTTTGAATGCTGAGGGAGTTGTCAAGCCTTGTGATTTTCCTTCACTTCAGGATTCTCTGAAGAAGAAGACAAGGGGCAAGAAAAAAGAGCCTGTTGGTTCCTCCAATAAGCCAGATTATTTGGTGGATGGTCTTAGGAAGACTAGGGTTGCCTCTTTGGGTGTAGCCATGTTGCTTAATGAGATCAAGGCAAAGAAGAGGGGTCATTTGGATAAAACAAAGAGTAATGTGGTGAATTTGGGTACTGTGTGTGATGTCTCTGCCTCTTCTTGATGATAGTGAGCTTTTGGAACGTTAGGGGGATTAATAACCCCCTAAAATAATTGAAAGTGCTCAAGAGATTGGATTCTTGTGAAGTGGATGTTATCTGTCTTATGGAGTCTAGGATTAGAAGGGAAAATTCTGTTAAGTTCTCCTCTGCCCTTTCTGCTGATTGGAACCTGGTTGGAAATTATGACTGTGTGGAGGGGGCAAGTTATGGATTCTTTGGAAGAAGCAATTGTCTTTTGCTGTTTTGAGTTGTTGTGATCAGGCCATTTCCATCATTGGTAATATTACTGGTCTCAGAACTGTTATAACTGCTGTTTATGGTAGCAATTTTGGTGTTGCTAGAAGAGGTCTTTGGGAGCATTTGAGGACTGTTGAGAATGATCTTGGTTCCTCTTCTTGGGTGATTGGTGGGGACTTCAACATAATTGCCAGAGCTGAGGAAAGTTCTGACTTTGAGACTATGGGAGTCCACAATTCCTCTGACATGAAGGAGTTCCAAGACTGCCTGGAAGAGCTTGACTTGATGGACCACCCTTTCCTTGGGCCTACCTTTACTTGGTCCAATAGGCAGGAAGGTTCTTTTTTAGCCCGGAAGCTAGATAGAGTTCTGGTTAATCCTAAGTGGCTACTTGATTACCCTGACTCTTTTGTGGAATTCAAAGCACAAGGAGTTTCTGATCACTGCCTTGGGGTATTATGGACACATAAGGGTGCTTTGGCTAAGAAGCCTAGGCCTTTCAAGTTTTTTAATTGTTGGGTCTCCCATGAGAAATTTCTTAGCATAGTCAAAGACTCATGGCAAGTGCATTGTGCAGGTTCTGCCATGCAAGTTCTGTTCTGCAAATTGAGAAGGCTTAAACCTCTCTTAAAAGAGCTCAATAAGGAGTTTTTCTCTGACATTTCTGGTAGAGTGAAGGGGAAAAGAGCTGAACTGGAGCAATTACAGATTTTTAATCTGACTCATGCTGAGCAGAGGAGAGTTGCTGAGGAAAAACGAATTCAAGATGAGCTTGTTAATTTGGAAGTAGCTGAATCTGAGTTTTTTAGACAAAAGGCTAAGTTGCATTGGTTGGATGAGGGGGACCTCAATACCAAGTTCTTTCATCAGAGGGTAGAATCTAATAAAAAAAAGAAATACCATTAGAGTAATTAAAGGAGAAGATGGTCAATTTTATGATACTTTTGAGGGTATGGCTGCTGAATTAGTGAGATTCTTCACTAATCTGATTGGTGTTGAGGATCCTTATGTCAATAGCTGTTCTGTTGAGGTTCTGAAAGACCTGCTAAACTACTCCCTGCCAGAAAGAGCTGCTGATTTTTTAATTAGAGAAGTGAGTGATATGGAGATCAAGGAGGCCCTGTTTAAGCAAGGAAAGGACAAGAGCCCAGGTCCTGATGGGTACACCTCTGGTTTTTACAAGGCTGCCTGGGACATTGTAGGTGCTGATTTTTCTTCTGCTGTGAGGTATTTTTTTCCAGTCCTCCAATTTGCTGTCAGCTTTCAATGCCACTACTATTGTTTTAGTGCCTAAATCTCTTAATGCTTGCCTTGTTAAGGAATTCAGACCTATTTCTTGTTGTTCAGTAGTTTATAAAACTATCACCAGAATCTTAGTTAACAGACTTGCCCCTTACTTTCCTGGTATGATATCTCTTAGTCAATCAGCCTTTGTCAATGGTAGAAGCATTATTGACAACACCTTGCTAGCCCAGGAAATTGTTAAGGGCTACTCTAGGAAGAGTCTTTCTCCTAGATGTGCAATTAAAATTAATTTACAGAAGGCTTTTGATTCTGTTAGTTGGGGCTTCTTGTTGAGTGTTCTTGCTGCTATGGGGCTCCCTGATATTTTTTGTAATTGGATTAAGGCTTGCATTACTACCCCTATTTTCTCTCTCTCTTTAAATAGTAGCTTGGTGGGGTATTTCAGAGGAGCTAGGGGGATTAGGCAAGGGGATCCTTTATCTCCTTACCTATTTGTTATTGCCATGAATGTTCTGTCCTCTCTCTTAGATGCTGCTTCCAAATATGGTATTTTTAAGTTTCACCCTAAGTGTAGAAGAATTTCCCTCACTCATCTTTGCTTTGCGGATGATCTGCTTGTTTTTTGTCATGGCTCTTTGGATACTGTGTTGGGAGTCCAAAGCACTCTAGACATGTTTTATGAGCTGTCTGGCCTCAAGTTGAATGCACAGAAGACTGAATTCTATGTTTGTGGGTTGAATGCGTCTGAATTGGAGCAAATCAGTTTGGTTACTGGTTTCAGATTGGGACAGCTTCCTGTGAGGTATCTTGGGGTGCCTCTGGTGACCCGCAAGCTCTCTGGTAAAGATTGTGAGGCACTTCTGATAAAGATTAAGGATAAGCTTAGGCACTGGTCTAACAAGAACCTGAGTTATGGTGGTAGACTCCAATTGATTAAAACTGTTCTGTTCATTATGTTTAACTATTGGAGTAGACAGGTGGTATTGCCTAAGGGAATTATTAAGGATATTGAACGCCTTTGTATGCGTTTTTTCTGGAAGGGAAGTGATTCTTCAGCAAAAGGAGCTCGAGTGAGTTGGAGTCAGATCTGCTCCTTGAAGTCTGAGGGTGGCTTGGGCCTTAGAAGTCTTGTGGTCTGGAATAAAACATGTTGTTTGCTCCTTGTAAGAAACATATTGGCTAATGAAGGTTTACTTTGGATCGCCTGGATCAAAGAATACTGCTTCAAAGCAGTTAGCTACTGGGATGTAGAGTGCAAAGCCCACTTCAGCTGGATCCTGAGCAAACTGCTGAGTCTGCGCGAGGAGGCTCACCGATTATTCCTTCCTTGTGTGAACTGGAGCCTTATGAGAGGTAATTGGATCTGGGACAATATCAGGGATTGTAGGGTGAAGGTTAACTGGCACAGGCTGATCTGGTTTCCTGCCCATATTCCCAAGTTCTCTCTTATTTCGTGGATGGTTATCCTCGATAGGTTGCCTACTAAAGATCGGCTTGTTCGGTTCGGCTTGGCTATTGATAATGTTTGTGGTCTGTGTGCCTCTAGTTCTGAATCTCGTGATCACCTTTTTGTTGAATGTTGTTTTGCAAAGGAAGTTTGGGATATTGTTCTAACTTCCTGTGGTGTTTGTTATACTCTGACCAACTGGGAGGATCTTTTCAATTGGCTGATAGCAAACTTGAAAGGCAAATCCCTCAGAATTCGAATCTTGAGGCTCGCTTGGACTGGTCTGTTGTATTCGGTCTGGGAAGAGCGTAATCACAGGCTCTTTAGACGCTCATCTCGCTCGGTTGATGCTCTTGTTAATAGTATAAAGTTAGCTGTTAGAGTTAAGTTGAGTAGATATGGCAAGCCTAGGATTGATGATGTTAACAGGCAGTTATGTTTGAATTGGGGTTTGTTTTGAGGTAACTTGTAACATCCCAAACTACGGGTTAGTGACTAAATCGTAAATTTCAGAATTTGATAATAAAAGTAGAATACTTGAATAGTTCAATGATTTATTTGAGGATATTTCCTGAAAGTTGTTAGTAATTATCTAAAGAATTAAAGGGTAAAAGGGTAATTTGTCATGAAAGATATTTTTATCCCTTTATTAAGAGATAAAAACATGAGAAGATGAAAGCATTTCATCTTCTTCTTCCTTTCTCTTCCCCTCCCGTAAGAGCAAGGGCAAAGGTAAGTTTCTTCATTAGTTGATTATTTGTTCAATTCAAGGTTGGGTTTTGATTATTAGATGATAATTAAGCTTAAGGAAAGCTTAATTTGTTCTAAAACAACAAGATGAAAGGTATATGAGAGATTAAAGATTTTGAGTTCTTGAATCAAATCTTGAAATAGAATTGATAAGTTGAATTTTAAGTTGAATTTGACTTGTCATCTATGAGATTAAGAAGTTAGAAGTGTTAGAATTATGTTTGAATAACATGAAAAATTTGATATTATTATTGAATTCTATATGGAGAATAGAATTCTAAGGTTTAAGATGAAATAAATGAATATAGATTGGTTTAAGTATGTGTACTAGAGTTAAGAATGAAAAGGGGATGATATATGAAGTGTTTGAGAGAAATTGAAGTGATTTTCGAGCTAAAAATATGATTTCTGGGCAAGGGGAATCGGTACCCATTCAAGGGGAACCGATACCCCTTCAAACGACAGAATTCCAGAATGCCAGAGGGGAACCGATACCCCCACAGGAGGGAATCGATTCCCCCTAAAGGAAAATATTAATATTGGTTTAATAAGTTCGTTTAAGTTGCTAGTATCCAATTAAAAGGTGTGGGTATCTAATAATTGTCTTAAAATGTATAATTATGTAGATTCAAAGCCTAAACGAGTTCCGGAATCATTGACAAGTAAGATCGATAAAAAGGGAAGATAAGAGATTGAAAGGGACTAGTGAGGCCAGGTGAGTGCATATTAATTCAATTATGGTGCTAAATGGAAACAAGACTTGTGACAAGTCTATTTCCTATGTTTAATGCATGAATATATGATTATATGTATATGTATGACATAAATTGTATGTATGCATGATTATAGGTGTTAACATGCTTTTGAATGAATGATATGAAAAGTGTATAAGTGAAATAACATGATAGGTGATAAAACTGCAAGTCTATATGATTATGTGTTATATGTACATGATATGACATGCAAGTTACATGAACAAATGAGAAATGGTATAAGTCATATGAAACGATCTACGTGAATACATGCACTTGTGATACAAGTGATATGAAATGTTATAAATGATAATGCCCATGTTATGTGATATGAGAGCTAGGGGTATAGTTGGCATGCCAAGAGTCGAGGGTTTACCTATGTTCTACGGAACATATGGACAGTTTTACCTATGTCTTTTGAGACATATGGACAGTATACCTATGTTCTAAGGAACATATGGACAGTTACCGAGGATCTTTATGACCTCTGGACAGTTACCGAGGATCTTTATGACCTCTGGACAGTTACCGAGGATCTTTATGACCTCTGGACAGTTACCGAGGATCTTTATGACCTCTGGACAGTTACCGAGGATCTTTATGACCTCTGGACAGTTACCGGGGTCTTTGTGACCTCTGGATAGGTCCTTCGGGACATTTATATGAGCTGTGGTGACAGCATAGTGGTGCACAACCTCAATAGACTCACATATCTACAGTTCTCACAGGTGCACATGGGCTAATAAGAGATAACATGGAATGTACTGTATATGATATATGTGTGTTAGTGATTATTGTATATGCTATAAGATATATGATATGAGCTTAATTGATTATATGAACAAGAGAATAGAAATATGAAAGGTGATAATATGATAATGATAGGAAAGAAGATAATTATATGTATGTGTGGATATGTATATATATATATCTATATGAAAGGTGCATAGTAGGAATCATTACATGTATATGTGGGTATGGTGCTTGTACGTGATATGTTAGTAGAAATTGTTCAAGCATGATTACGAGTTAGAGTTTTATTATATGTTTTATACCTCACTAAGTCAACGACTTAGCGTGTGATTGTTTCACACGTAGGTTACAGAAGTGAGAAGAGTAAAGAGCTAAGAGGAGCAAGACAGGTCAGTTCTCCTTACCCAATTGTCAGATCAGAAAATATATGTACGGTATATAGAGTGTAGTTGGCATGTAGTCTAAAGATATAAATTGTATGAACTCTGATATATTTTGTAAACGTTTTGAATGAGTTAAATGTTATCCAAGTTTTTAAATTACTCACTATTTTATACGAATAAATGTTTGAAAAGTCAATGTGACACTTCGGACTCGTATCCGGGTCGGATACGGGTTGGGGTGTTACATAACTTGTTGATTGTAGTAGCATGTCTGTTTTTCTTGATGGAATATAAATTACTTATCCAAAAAAAAAAATAATCTGTCTCCTTTAAAACATGACACATGCGTGGACCAATCTCTATCTCTTCTCATTAGTGCCTTTTTTGCTAAGTTATTCCCCTTGATTCTTCATTTAAGGGGAAAAGAAAAGCTTTGCTTCAACCCAAAGTTAAGAAAATATTTTTAACATTTTATCTTGATATACAAATATAATGGAAGGGAAATTAAAGGGTGGAAAAGGCCTCTATACAACTTGTACAATCTCGTACTAAATTTATTATTATGAATAAAAACATGTGATCAAAGGATGAAATTGCTGGAACATGTTATTGCTTGACTTTGTTCTTTAATAGTACTAGATCGTGTAGTTGGATTGATGGGGCAAAGGGTTTAGGTGATCAATCAATTTAGGATAGGACATGTGGAGAACAAAAATTCCACCCGTCATATATATTTCAATTCTCATCTTAATTATATGTGCGGTGAAACAAATGATTTTTTTCATAGATGTTAGGAATTTATATACAAAAATAAAATATACATAAGAAAAAAGATTTATATGATTCGATCTTAATTATTTAAACGAATGAGAGAAACAATAATTCAACAATAATTCATTATAAACGTATAGATCACAAAAAAATACATACAATTCATGTATCTTATAACATAAATTCCTAATAATAATCCTTTTCCAGATTTTATGTGGTAAGTCTAAAGCTTCTAAATTACAATCATGTATAAACAGGTGAATACAGGTGTGGGTTAATTTTTTTTTTCAAGTACACTAAAATCATTACTTTTTATACTATCTTCCATTAGTAGATGCCATGTCATAATATATAATAAATAATTACAATTAATTAGTGTCGTCTTATGAAAGTGCCTATGGCATTGGCCTATCTTTTCTTTTTATCATTAAAGATGAGTAAAGATTGTGACATGGGAAGGAGTCTTGCTGAGCAGAATGGTCATAGTTGAGTAGGAAAAGCAAAGGCTAAGGACCATTTGTCTAGTTGAACAACAAAACCGAGGAGGGACCAAATGATGAAGGAATGGGGCCTTTTGAGTCCCCATACCATGTATGGATGCGATGATTGATATTAAGTGGAGTAACCCACTAATGCATGCTTCTAATCTATTCAAAAACTGGGTCCCCAAACCTAAGGGCCAGTAGTAGCAGCACTCAGCATCATTGCAATGTGGATGTGGTGTTAAAGCCAGACACTGGATTGTTCCTTCCATGCATAATGTACTCCTCACCAACCCCCCTTTTTTCTATTTTAAGCGCATTCCTTTTTTGTTGGCAAAACAACAATGAAAGGAAGATAAATACTGAAGAAGAAAACAAATTACTCTCTCTCTCTCTCTCTCTATCTTTATATTTCTCTTCCAATGCCATGAAAATACGTTTGTCATCGAATGAACAGCAAAGTTAGCGACCCCATGGCGTGCCATTATACCCGCTATGGACAGTTTCTTAGAAGCCCCCTATGACCTCGACTTCAAATGTCTACTAGGAAAAAGGCCATATTACATATGACACACAATAAATGCATGCAGATAATATGGAGAATTTAGGTGCTAATTGTTATATATGTGTCTGTGAGAGAGCTCAAACGGGAAATTCTTTTTTTTAACAGTTCCTACTTAGGAAAGGACAATAGAATTTTATTGCTTATGGATATTGAATTATCTAGGGGAGAGGAGAGGTGTTAACTAAAAGTTTTTTAATCATTGTTTTAGAGATTGTTGACTCAAACGATAATATTTTTTTATTAATCTGTGATAAATACAATGTGATATATGTTTAAATATAACTTTCAGTTATTTGACATTGAACACTCACATCTCTGACATTCCTAGTATGCGAATATAAAACCTTAAGAAATAACAATAATTCTTTTACCACCTAAATCGCTTGGTTCGTGTCAAACATTGAATTCTAAATATACAAAATGCTAGTGTAATCATAAATTTTATAATTTAATGATGTAGTGATAATAAAGAAATGAGATATGGAGAAGCAATATAAAGGAGAAAAGGAGGACAAGAAACGGAATATATAATATAACCAGTTTCACACGTACACCTTCATTTACTAAATCTCTCATTATGAAAAGAGAAAAATGGGGCGTCATAGTCAAAACGAGATAATTATTCAACTAGATAATTAGTTAACTTGTAGATAATCTCTGCAGTAATTAAAAGTTTTTAGTTGATATATAGGTTCATTATCTATTAGGAGTAAAATTTTCATTTATTCTCCCTCATAAGATAGGAATTGTTCAAAATATATTAATTAATTTTATTTTTTTTAATTTTATTAATTTTTATAGATAATTTTTATAGATAATTGTTAAGTTATATCCGAAAAATAAAAATAAAATTTTGAATTTTAAAAATAGATTGTTCAAAGAATTTACTATAATCTTAATCTGAGAATTAATTTTTTATATCGTACTAAGGACAATTTAAATCTAGTGATAATAGGGAACAAGTATAATCAAAATTAAGAAGAACGTTTGACCTGATCTAGGTACTTGACCATAACAATAAATGAAGAAAATATAATCTTCCTTTTCAATTTCAATGAAGATGGTGGTTAACTCTAATATACACAAATGACAAATCCCTATAATCAGTTTAAACTAATTGGCCTTGATTGAGTAAATTGGTATCGGGGAAGGTCAAATGTTAGGTATGGTTTTCGACGTTGCTGTTATACCACCAAATCCAAAATATATGACTGTTGATGATGATGAGATCAAATTGACAATTTCAACCCCGTATCATCATGCACATAATACCATTGCTTTTTCATGTTGTGAAAACAAATTCATGCAGGTGATGTAACAAAGTGAGATGGCACTTGGAATTGTTAAATGAGTGATGGATGTTATTAGTCTCAGCCACATGCACTAAGACGAAACCATCTAGTTTTAAGTTTAACTACTTTTACAAAACGCATCGTCAGCTCTACCATCTCCATGTCTTCTTCCAAATGCAAACCCTACTTCACTACAAACGAATCATTGTCACTTGTTTTTTTCAGTTTCTGAATGGAAACTACAAGGATCTTTGTTCACGCAAATAATGCAGAAAGAACAAATCAAACAATAGACTCGGCCCTGATCAAACTTGAACTTAAAACTATATCAAGAGGTTTTAAAAGAGCATCAACGAAACCCAACTCAGGATATGTTGCTTTACCCAAGAATACTAGAAGTTAAAAGTAAAACCACAACCCAGAATCTGTTGCCATTAGGGAAAAAAAAGAAGAAGAAAACAAATGGCTATTAACCGTACTGTTCTTTCGTTTACAGAAATCAAAACCCACATCACAAGATTCTCCCCGAACTCCATTTTAGAGTTATTAAGATGTCTACCTTTGGACGTTCGCACTATGGAGGAGCGCCATAACCTGGAAAATCAGTCCATTGATTTGGATTCAGAGAAAAACCCGTTGTGTTGGTGTTTATGTTCCCAGGGCTGCTTGTGCTGCTGCTGCTGTTGTTGATACTCCACATCGCCAATTCAGAGACAGTAGGGTTACTGTTGTTGACGAAACTTTGATGCCAATTCTGCTGAGAGGAGTTACCTGCAGCAAGCCTGTTAGACTGAACCAACCTTTCTTGAACAGATGGGCTCATGTTTACAGTACTTTGATCTCTGTCATCCATAGGAAAGAATTGGGTTTGATGAATTGGTTGATGCTGTTGTGACCCAAAAGAAGCGACACCATATCCCTGCAACAAACCCAAATTTGAAGAACCACCCAAGTCCTGATTGAGAGGTTGATTAAAAGGTTGCGGTTGGTTCATCGACTGAATTGCGGCCAAAGAAGACAAGAACCCAGCACCAGGGTAATACGATCCCACTGAAGAAATAGCAGACGAAGAAGCCAAACCACCAGATTCCTTGGTTGTCAAAGCAGCACTTACGCTGAGCATAGGATTAGAAGAGATCATACTTTGCGATGATGTCAAGTTGTGCTGTGGATGGGACCTTGAGTTTTCACCGGAAGGAGAAACTTTTGTTCGCTTTCCTTTCCTGCAACCACCTCCCACGGGCACGTTCCTTAGGGTTCCACCTTGAGTCCAATACCTTTTACAAGTCTTGCAGAAATAACGAGGCTGCGACAGACTGTAATTGTTGTAGTAACAAAACTTGGTATTAAGAGATTCACAACGAGGACACTTTTGAGGTGGGTTCTGGTGTTGCTGTTGACTCTCGCCTGTCAAAGCCTTCAATCTCTGATTTTGCTGTTGGTTCTGCTTCATGCCTTGTTCGCTTCCTCCTCCTCTATCTTGCTGCATCACTAAATCTATATGCTCTTCTTTCCGGTGCTGATTTATAAATCCATTTTTCAGTTAATCAAGATTCTGGGTTTACTTGGGCTTTTGTACTGATGGGCTTGATGCATGCAGGTATCGAGATAGAGAGCGTTTCAGATGTATGATAGCTCTACGTGTCTGTATCAGGCCGTTGAGAATCTCCGCTGTACAAACAAAACCACGGCGATCGTTACCTTGTCTACATGCCTACATCTCCTACCCACCAACCCGCCTCTACAAAACCATGCTTTTTCCCCCTTTTCACCTTTTTAAAGCAACAAAAACCAAACGATAATCAAGAATCTGAATTTATGAAAAATTTCCCCTTAAAACCCAACGAAAAATCTTGCCAGATATCCATCTCCACTAGTAATTTATGTATACACTATAGAATGTGTAGAAAGGCTGACCTGCTTTTACGAGAGAGGGTAAAAGAAGGGAATATGTACGAGTGTCGGGCGTGGACGAAGTCCACTAAGCCCAGGTCTCAATCTAGAGGTAAGTGAGAGATGTTTTAAGAGAAAGAAATGGGTTAGTTTGGGTTCAGTCCAATATTCAATCCCTGGAACAAGCATATAACAAAGACAGAACACACTGGTTGCTTCACCTGATCCATCAAGGTCTTTAGAATTGCATGCAATACGCAAAAGAAGAGAATAACAAAAAAAATAGCACACAGGTACGCGAAAACCTTGATTCAGTAATCTTTAATGTGTGTTTTTGGGTGACAAGACAGAGAATATGGGTTGTAGCTTAATAAAAAGAGAGGGAGGGAGGGACAGGGAATTTAAGAGAAATTATAGAAGAAAGACAGTGTGATAGGGAATGGACCAGTAAGCAGTGGGCAGATAGGCGGCGCGCCCAAAGCAAAGGTTGGCGTGGCGGTCGGCAATGGTGTGGTGGGCTGTGTCAGACCTCAGCTTAATTATACACGGTCTTCTTTCATTTAGTTATCATTTCATGTATCTTTCTTTCTCATTCCACTTTATTATTTCTGTCTCAACAACTGAGTATTCTGTTCTCTATTTCTATTACGATGCGTTTGCTTTACGATTGAAATGGGATTTTCATAATTTATAAAGTATGCTCAATTTTAATTCTTTTGGATTATATCGTATTAAAGTAAAAGGTTTTGTTCATATAAATTATTTGTTATATTTTATATTTATTTAATATTTAAATATTATTACGTGTGTTTAAGTAGTATTTTAATGATTAATATATTTTGTTAATGTTGTATTTATAATGTTTTTAAAATTGTATGATAAAGCAGAATGTTGCTTGGCACAGAAATAGATAGTAATTATTATTATAAGTTTATTTATGCGTTAATACATTTTTAAATATTTAAATTATAATCTAAAATGATTTTTTTTTTGGTGTCTATCGAGTTTTTTATATATAAAAACATATACTTAAAGTTTTGAACGTTACACATTTAGGTACATGGACCATAACGACCGTCAAATTTGATCATTATCTGACACATGTCAATCATATAAAATTTTAAAAAATTATTTTAAAAATAATTATAATTATTTTAAAAAAATCCAAAAATTTTTGAAATTGTAAAAGAAATCCCAAAGAATCCTAATTCCAGTCACTTCACCAAATCCCGACGACACCTGATCACCCAAACACCCAACGGTCAGATCCCCATGATTCATGCGACGATTGCCACAAAAAATGGGTGATTGCAACGATCGGAAATACAAAGGACAATGCAACTTCTAACGTCTTTCTAGCGAACAACGATCGACGTGGGTGAAAGACGATAGTCAAGATTTAGTCACGGGAAAATGAAGAACTCGAGGGTGATGGCAGTGCATGCCAATAGCTAGTGAAGGGTGGTCGACGGACGGCGACAGGAGAGGGAAGTCACAAGGCGAGGGGTGGACATTTGATTTTTTTTAATTTTTTTCTTTTTTTCTGAAAAATAATATTTTTATTAATAAAAAATAAAAAAATAATGTTAGACACCTAAAAGTGTAACGGAAAAGCGTTAAATGCCTATTTTTTATAAAAATTTCTACACTAAAATTCAATTTAAATGATAATTTAAGTGTATTATTCCTTTATTTATTTTTATTATTTCCATTATTATCTTATTAGAGGAATATACAAACAACCTGCCTTTTTACTCGAATTTTTTTCCCAGTTATTTTTTGCTCGACATGATTTATGAATCACGCTGCCTACTAAATGGAATTCGATTTTATTTAATCTTTTATATTTTTCGGTTCTATTTAACAACATTGTTGTGTTAAGAGTAAGTTAATTTATTTTTTTATAAAGAAAAATACATTTAAACTAATTAGAATAAATATAAATTAAGCAGGCATCCAATAAATTAATCTCGTTTCAGGTACGCGGGATTCGTAAATCGTAATACATCGCGATCTCCTTATGACTTTGCTAAAGGTAGATTCTTGACATGTACAACAAATTTTTCATTGGCAAAGTCTTAAAAAAATCTAAGTTGTGTCACACCCCAAAGTTGTGGCAAGGACTAAATTGTCGTTTGTAAGAAATATTTAACCTATTCGTAATAATAGGAAATTTTCAAGGGGTTAAAGTTTAGTTTACCTTTTTTGGGTTAAGCCAACAAAATATCAAATAAAGAAAATATTAAAAATATGAGATTTTAAAAGCTTGAATCCATGACCTCTAAACTTGCATAGATAAGCTTTCACCAACTCTAATAGGGTACTATTTATGTTTTATATTATTAGAAATTTTTTTGAACCAAAAATAAATGGGCTTCAAGTAAACCAACCTTCACCAAGTTCTGAAAATCACTCCCTTTTCTCCTTTTATTTCCATTAAAGCCTTGATTGTCACTGTTGCCACCGCCGTTCATCAGTCTCCGACCAGTAGTGGCTTACATCGTCACCACCATAAGTTTCGGCCGCACATCAAGAACTCAACCCCGACCACCATTTACCTAAAACCACCGCTGGTCAATGCAAATTCATTGAAAACTATTCGAGAAACCAATCTTCAATCACCAGTCATAGTTGGTCGTTGCCATCACCATCGGTACCAACATAAGCGCCCGGCCACTGCGAGAAAAACCCTGATGGTTGATTGTCAGAACTCATCGTTGTTTGCTATGAATCGTTGATCGAAGGTTTGTCAGGAAACGTTCTCATCAACGTTGTTTTGACGATTTTCGACCAAACGGATCGTATGTTCGCCTTATCGCACACGTTGTTGAGCTCTTTACTCAGTTCCGACCAAAACCCGACTGGTTTTGTCCTTCACCGTCGTCGGCACATGAGAAATGAAGCGAGAAGAAGTTTGATGGTTTGTAAAATGTCATTTCGGTTGCTCCTCGTCGTGAAACAAACCTTACACGGGACTCCTGAGTCAACGGTCTACCGATCTGGAAAGTTTCGTGCCGCTTCGACATCGGTATCCACCACACGTGCCCCACGTGTCACCCTATGCGCGTGGGCTTCGTCTGCAAAGCATGGGATCAGTTGAACCGGCTGGACAGATCACGAGCCGAGCCACCTGAAGTCGAGTCAAGCTGTGTTGACCAACAGTTGATAAGGCTTTGACTTTTTCTGGGATTACCTATTTTTATTTTTTTAATGTCTTAAGTACGTTTCACCAAATTCAAATTAAGTTGTTTTTAGTATTTTATCCCTTAATTCGATATATTTTTCTTGATTAAGTTCTGTTTCTGACGTAATTTTCTTTGTCATTTATCCGAGATATTATGGGACATTGAAAACAAGTTCAAGAGAGACCGAATGGTGTTTAATTGGTTGATTGATATGGTTCAAAAATCAAGATAATATTTTAATACCATATGCATGTTTTATGGTACATGTTTGGTAATTGATAGATACATGATTTATAATGTTTGGTCTAGTAGATCACGATGAATATTTTTAAATTCGTACTGAATACAATGTAAAGGCAATAAAATGAATAAGACTTGATTGACTCGTGTAAGGAACTAGAAGAATAATATGAAATAATTTCAAGTTTAGTGATTAATTGGTAATTTGATTAGTCTCAGAATTCTTAAAATTTTCGATTTTTCTCGTGGAAGGTTTTAATGTTGGAAATGCTCAGATAGAAAATTTCAAAAAATACTCTTATGATGTAAAAAGATAAGAATTGTTCCCAAATGTGAAAATAACCCTGGAAAGTTATACTTGACTCGATTAAACTACTGAATTCACATGTTAAGTGTATGTATTATTCAGAACATCCTGATAATTGATTATGATCTCCGAGATGACAAAGGACTTAAAATTACGAGACAAATTTACTGGAAGTAATGCATGTGACAAAAATTAGATGAAATAACTAAAATACCCTTAGAATGAAAAAGAGACATGTATCTCCCCTAACATTAGAACTGACCTAGCAATCCATTCTTGACCTGATAGAACTACAAAATCGTCAGTTAAATTCATGATCTGATTGGAAAAAAATGGTACTTGATTCCTAGCCTTTGAGATTGTAACTTACTGAGATTTTCTAATTTCAGATTAATTATCTAAAATCCAATTTATTAGAAGTAATGTATGCATATAAATTATTTGAAATGGCCAAAATGCCCTTAGACACCAAAATGACCTAAACACTCTTATGACCTAGAATTAAGTGGATGACATTGGAAGAATTCTAGAAACATCGGTAAACCTAAGTGTTGTACCGCCTTCTTAAGGTTGAAGCATAACCCAACCACGTCGGACATTAGGGAATACTTCTGCAATACAAAAATAAAATAAATACGATCAGAATACCTCCTCGTCTCCTCGAGATCCAATCAAGGATGATTTTGAAGGTGATCAGTTCAACTAGTACAGTTAACATTAAGAGGTGAATATTAGCGAAATATTTTGGTTTGTATGATTGGCAAGTATAACAATGTTGGGAACTATTTAGTTCAATTTGACTCGAAATCTTGATAACTCGATATAAATAATGAATACTACAAATACCTCTTTACCCATATTGGGTTAACGTACTAAGAATTCTTCAAGAATCAAAATGTCTAAACTGCCCTTGATGGTCTAAATAATGGAGTCACACCTGAGATATCTGAAGTTAGAATAATTCAGATGTAAAAGTTCCTGAATACCTTTATGACATATTAAAATTCTAAATGGCCCCGAAATTTCTAATTAGAGATGTTAGTAATCAAACCCTTATTATATGATCCCATTTCTGAAATCCAATCAACTTATAGAAGCTCGTGTTTCCCTCCATGATAATTACTGCGTGCCTCCAGAAAATATATGAATCCTCTAGTGTGTTCATTGTGCACATGAATATTTTCTTTGTTTTTAAAAGAATGACTATGATATCTGAAATAAAAGTATGATCTATTATATCTTTTTTCTGATACAAAATATATATGGCTCCTGATCTCTTACACTGCTGGTATTGTCTGGAGTTGTTTTACTGGGTATTTCTGAGGTAGGTGTCTAGAGTTTTGAGGTTCAGCTAGCTGGTAATTCTTTTCTGTTCTGATCATTTTTTAATATAGTTATGGGGAACTGCATATAGAGTGATCGGGTGGAGGGTATTATTGAGTTTTGAGAAAGCAATATGTTTTACTGAAATAAATCATTATTTCTGGTTTTGTTACAACACACTAGACTCCGAACTCCATCTTCTGAATTTGTCTCTCTGAACGTTTCCACTAAACTATAAACTTCCTAACTATTACCTGAAGATCTAATTAGTAAAACAT